CACGTTCACGGCCTCTGTGCGTGTCGCAGGCCCAACGCGCAATGGCCGCGCTTCTGCGTGCCCCGCTGTTTGTGCTGGGGGCTCTGGCCCTGGCCGGGATGCTGAGCTCCGGCGGCGCCGCGAGCCCAGCCAGGCCCCCGCGCCTGTTGGGGGGCCTCCTGGAGGCCGACGCGAACGAGGAGGGCGTACAGCGCGCGCTGGATTTTGCCGTCAGCGAGTACAACAAGGCGAGCAACGACAAGTTTCACCACCGCGTAGTGCGGTTGAAGGGCGCTCGGAAACAGGTGAGGGCGTGCAGGGCAGGCCTGGGAGAACGACTGGGCCCCGGGCCGCGGGGTCCGGCCCGGCCAGGGCGTTGCCTTTTGAAGAGTACCACCCACTTTCTCCCTAGGCCAGGGATCCCTAACACCCAGCCCTGGGCCGCTTCCCCTAGTTCCCTATCGCCCTTTAAAGTTCCCCCTTCCCAGCGCCCTGGGCCCCAACCCCTCCTGAGTTCCACACCACTCCCAGCCTGACGGCTACCCGAATTTCTGCACCTTCTGGGCTCCCGGCCCTCGCCTCTGGAAAGACCCCTTCACTGCCAGTAGATTTCTGGCATATAGTGACCCTGTAGGACAGGGTAGGACTGCCTTTGGATTTCCGAGACTAACTCTTTACCCGAAGAGAAAGGCCAGTCTCTCCGGTGAAGCTGGTTTCAGGTGACCGTGTGGTTAGTAGCTCAACATGTAATTAACTGTGCCACCAAGGCTTTTTATCCGCCTTTATTGCGCTCCCTAGCCTTTGCATCTCTCTGTGCCCTCTTGGGCCTGAGCCCCTTCACCCCCTGAGCACTCGGGCCCTCTCAGTGCCGTTCTCTAGGACTCTGGGGCTGCCTCCATGCTGAACAAACCTCCAAACGGCAACCTGCACCCATGGGTTGGTGCGATAGGTCCCGACCATTTGGGGGCATGCCCATTGCTTCTAATCCACTTTTGTTTTCCCTGCGGACCCACAATCGATAGCCGAGAGTCACTAGGCCTGGCCTGACTAGTGCCCTTCCTGGAAGCTGTGGAGCACCTTTATTTCTATTTTAGATATTAGCTCTGATGAACCTTCCTAGCCTGAAGGCAGGGCTCTTGTGAAATGGGAGAGAAGCAAAGGCAGGCCTAGACACTTGGCTACTCAGTCTAGTTCTGCCAGTAAATGTTTTCTTAAAACAACTTTTTAAAGACTTTTTATTTTGATATTTGGGGCTTACACTACCATTGCAAAAGTAGGGCAAAGAATTTCTCTAATTCTTTCATCTGAGTTCCTCAACTCTTGATAATTATCATACTTATTTCACTCAACGTACATGTGTGCATAGGTGTGTATTTCTATATACATCTATTTTTTCAGAAAGACTTGAAAGTAAACTGTTCAGTGCATGCGTTCTAAACACAAGTGCCTTCTCTTACATAACCTCAATACAATGTTGAAAGCCAGGATATCAAACACATATAAGATTACCCGATGTGGAGACCTTATTCATAGATTCCTAATTGTCCTAAAGTCATCATTAATGCACTCAGCCATTTGCATGTATTTTTAGCCTCTTTTAATGAAAACAACTCAGTCTTTGCCTTGTGATCTCGGTGTTTGTGAGAAATCAAGCCAGTTGTTTGAAAACTATTGCTCAATTTAGGCTAGTCTGGCCTTTTCTCAAACTTAGATTCGAGTCATCATGTGCGCAGAAGAGGTGTATGTCTACTTGGGTGTGTCCTTTCAACTGTGCCACCAAGACAAACCTCCATTTCCTCGTGTGCAGTGGGGAATGGTTTTAAGCTGAGCTCCCAGGGCACCTGACCACCTTTAACAATCATCTCGCTTGAGGTTCAGCCTCCTCCCTCTGGAGTTCCTAGCAAACACCATTGAATACTTAGAACCTTAGGACTTACATAAGGATACAAACTTGCTCTATAGATTTCAGAAGAAAAGCTTCTGAACGGTGCTTCCATTTACCTACCTTTGCCAGCAGCCTTTGGAGTTCAGTGCCACAGGGTCAAATAGGATTGACGCCTGCTTGGGTTATAGTGAAGCCTGTGACCAGATCAAGGGAGTTTATGAAAGGATCAGAGAGGAAGGACTGGGATTGGAGCTTGCCCTTAAAAGAAGGCTAGAATCCAGGCTCAAAGGCCGGTACCCCATTTGTAGAGCAGGACACAGCAACCCAGGAGCAAATATATGAAGGTTAAAATCGGGCTCTGCAACGATGGGCTGGCACGGAATTAAATGGTCTCTCTGACCTCCTTGAATATGGCAGTAACTTGAAGGAAGATAGAGCTCTATAGCTCATCAGAGCTCTATTTGTGTTTCTTTTAAAGATGGGAAAGTTGACACGGGGTGCAGGGGTGAGGGTATGTCAAAGTAACAAGTATTTAGAATCTTGACCCCACTGGATTCCTCATCCTCTGTTTTTCTAGTTTTAACCTTGCTTGTCTGGCTGTAGGGAAACCCATTATGAGGAGAGAGTTCAGTTGTATACTGGAATCTCTAATATAAAGACAGGTGTGTAAATACTTTAGAAAGATTTCCAGGAAGGACAGTGTTTACCAACCTAAAAACTTTATGCATCAGAAGGATCTCATTTCATAATGTTAGGTGAGGGAGTAAGTAAATCCGTGTTAAACAATCCGAAGAATGAGACTGGGCTAAATGTCAATATTGGATGTTAGCTAGAAAGTTCATCTTTCTCCCTGAAAGCAGCTGATGATTTTGAACTCCTGGCTGTATACTTAGCAGTCCAACACAACCACTACACCACAGGGGCTCCTTTGCTAAATGACAGTCTTCCTAAAATAGACCCCAGTGACTCTGCCTTCTTTTGCTGTGTTAGCAGAACTTAACTACCTTCACTGGTGACACAAAGTTACTTTGTACATTCGCCCTTGCCCTACAGGCTCCTCAGAAACAAAACCTCCCTGCCATCCAGTTGATTCTAACTCATAGTGACTCGATAGGGCAGAGTAGCACTACCTCTGTGGCTTTCCAAGACTGTAACTTTTTACAAGAGTAGAAACCCTCCTCTTTCTCCCTTGGGATAGCTCCTAGTTTTCAGTTGCTGACATTGTGGTTAGCATTCAACATATAACCCGCTAAACCACCAGGCCTACTAGGACAGTGTATTTACCTGCCTTCTGCTGGGCTCTGAGGGCAGTGCCTTCCATTATTGAATCCAGTTAATGAGCTCTTAGTACCTGGCTTCTGCCTCTTCCACGCTTCAGTTTGACTGCATGAGACGTCTTGTTGAAGCCATCTATGTTGCTCTATAAATTGCCTGGAGGTCAGATGTGGCAGTAGGATCATTAGGAGGCTAGCGAATGTGCTTTGTGGTTACAATGCTGGCAGACTATGAATGCTGGCCCAAAGGTCTTAAGGAGTAAGAGTGACATAGAGTGTTAGAAAACAAACCCTTCTCTCCCATGTGCACAGCTCGTGTCTGGAGTGAATTACTTCTTAGATGTGGAGCTTGGACGAACCACATGTACCAAGTCCCAGCCAAATTTGACTACCTGCCCCTTCCATGACCAGCCACACCTGAAGAAGGTATGTGTGCCTAATATACACGGGACAAATAGTTCACAGGAAAGAGGTGGGGTTGGGGAGTAGCAGTGCATGTGTATGCACATGTGGGTGCATACAAGGGAGTATATGTCTATGAGGCTTTCACATGTAGGTTGCATGTACAAGTGGGAAGAGGCGTTCATATGTGGAGGTGGAACGGTGCTTGTGAGCATCTGATTAACATAAATTCATAAGGGGAAGACTAGCTTGGGAATGGACCAATGTGAGACCATTTCTGGTATTGTCTACTTGAAAGGACATAGCAGCTGCTGAGCAGCTTCTGTAAAGGGAAAAAGAGCAGTACTTACCTCAACTCTTGGCTCATACTGCCTACAGCCACGCTGAGCAGATCTGTGGATATTGAATTCCTGTGAGCACCCTAAGCCATGTGACTCCTTGTGACTGCCTTGGCTCACTGGATAAATGTTTTTCTCTTTCCTGAACTTTGGATGGTGTATGTGGGGTCACAGCCTCGGAAAGAGCTATGCTTCCTTCTTGTCAGCCTTTCTCAGGTCCTTCCTTTTTCAGAGGCCTTTTTCTAGACTCGAATCCCCATCCCTTGGGTTCTTCCAACTAGACCTGTATAGGACGAATCCAAGTGTTGGAAGTGCCTGTGCCCCCGGGCTGTGGAAACACTCCACCTGTGGACTCCTGGCTGAAAGGGCTGTGCTGGGGCAAGACAGAAGTCTTCAAACACATAGGAGTGGCTCCTGCTCTTAGAGTGGTGGGAGGGGACGGGGATGGTCCAGAGTGTTAAGAGACCAGAAAGGAAGAGGACCAAGTGTCCCCATTATTCCTTATCCTGAACTTCTAGATCTATTGGTGAGACGTTTTACATTTAATCATAATACTACTGACTGCTCCTCTCTCTTCTCTTTGCAGAGAGTCCTCTGCTCTTTCCAGGTATACACTGTTCCTTGGATGAATTCAACCTCCTTGACAAAATCCAGTTGCCAGAACGCATAGAGGGTTGCATAGCTGATTACAGTGCTGACTGCCTCTCGCCATGCCCCTTGGGAGTGCAGTTACCTCTGCTTGTGCATCTGAGCCTATAGAGTAGTGATCCTGCCATAGCGAGGCTTGAAGTCTCTTTAGTGTTCCAGTACCAAAAGAAAAGTGAAGGTTTCCTACGTGTTTTGGGAAGAGCTAAGAGTTCAAACCCAGCTCCTTCCTTTTCGTTGCTTTTTAAATGCTCCAGCCTCATGCTGTCCCTGTTCTGCTCGTTTTATTCAATAAAAAGTTGCATCAGCTACTTTCTAGTTGTTTACTGTCTTTGGGAAGGAGACTTAAGAAAGATGGAGACTTACAAGGCACTTCCTGTCCCACTGATGTCTAGAATGCAATGAGGAGGCAAGAACTGCTGTGACCAGGTGTGCATCAAGGATGCTTTGCTGTCATCGCCCTAGA